AGACTAAGTGCTATCATGACGCCGCTGGTGGAATTTTGGTCGTGACATGTCGCCACTTCAATTACCTAGCTCAAATAGGTCCAATAATTTGGAGAGCAGTGGCGCGCCTTCATTTCAAACTTCACCCTTTGCTATCTTCTTCACTTATATTCTCCCAAATTCTTCCGTATCGAAATATTTACTCTTGTCGACCTTGAAGATTATCATGATAGGGGGTAGTACAATAGATTCATAGCTGTTTCAATGCTCGAATTGGTTGAGCCTAGTGACTGTCCGTTCCCGGAGAGATAGAATTATACTCGTAAGTTTCTTTTGACTCTCTTAAATTGATTTTCTTCTGTTCTAAGTTTTTTAATCGAGATTGATAACCTTGAATCTTGATCGAGACTCCGGCGGCTGATGAGGCTCAAGACCAGATTTTTTATATAGGCCGCTTAGTACGGAAGAAGAAGAGTACCATGGGTACTGATTCAGAGAATGTCCTTGTACTTCATCCAAAGAAAAGATACAACAAGGGAATGAAAGAGCTTTCCGAGGATAGTCAGGGTAATCCCCGAATCAATCCCCAACCTACTCAAATTCTTCTCCAAGCTAGATGACATTTTTATTATCGTGGTGGATGATAGAGAGAATTCTCTAATTATAGAAAGATATAAGTATTGCAAACACGTTTGTCTAAATATTATTCGGTACTATAGAAAATTTCTCCAAGTATTAATTTTATTTTGGCATTTTAAGAATTTGTCTAAGTGCTCATGTTTAGTGTTATAGACTAAATTATACATATATTTGGATGCATCGTTTTTTGTGATGTCTTAAAGTTGCACCTTTAGGTGTGTGACTTTTAAATAAAAAAGGGCCCTTTTATATTTTTTATACGTTATGTAGAGGACGTCTCCTCTTCACTTGGGCGTAAATAGGATTGATTGATCCAAGTAGACTTTTAGTCTAAGGAAGTAATGACCCCGATAGGATTTATAGGAGTATTAATCCTGGTAAGACATTGAGTCTAAGGGAATATTGATCCCGAATAAATGTATATCTTAGTAGATTTGGCCTGAAGAGATATTTAATATAATAAATCGTTAAGAAAGGCTTATATATTTAACTTGAATGACCGTTACCAAATCAACTATAAGTCACATGTTTGTTCAAAGTGAATTTTATTCCGGTGGCATATTTGCGTATATTGCTCTTAAAAAAGTGTCATTCTCGACTCAGACATAAAACGTTTTTTTTCTTATCGTGGGATTCTTGACTCTGACATGGAGTTCTCATTCCTTTTCGTGCATGTGTAGCATATGTATTTTTGAATAACTGGTTCAACACTATTTGAAGTGTATATGCTTGATATGAGCAAGGCAACTGACTGAGTTTGAGATGGTGATAAATGAAGTCAGAATACTATCAGGAATTCTATCTCCAAAGGCAATCGACTGTTTGTATTACTGCTTATAATGTGAGGTCAGATTGACTAATCTTTAAGTATATGTAGTCCCCTAGTGTTCGAGTTTTGAGGTTGAGAACTCGAACACTAAAATCATAATTTGGCAGTCTCCAGTTTAATAGTCCCCAGTAAGATAGCTAGTTTCGATGTTGATGGACTTTTAAGTAATCCGGTTCTTAGAAAGGGAAACAAAGGGACGGTATCAGAGCTCTTTTTATCAAATATTTTTGACTATGGGTGAAAACTACAGAGGTTCCGAAAATTATCGAGGATCATGTCATAATTTGATTTGAGCTAGTCATCTTGGCTTTGATGAGTTTTCGATTTAAAGCCTTTTTACCGGAGTAACTTTCACAACTCTCTTTATGAATTTCTCGCATCACATAATTTGTTTGTCTGGTTCCTTGGCATTTAGATTTGGGACCCTTGAATATTCTCCAATATAATTCTCCTTCAACAAGGCAGTATGGGGTGATGCATACTCGAAGTTGTCGAGACGCATGCTTGTCTTCGGGTGAAGTCTCATTCTGCAAGTAATTAATGAATTTATTATGCCAATTCCAAATTAAATTAATCGAGCTTATCTCATTTTAATTGATGATAAATCAGGGATCGTCTAAATATGGGATGACCCGACCCCGAGATTGTTTGACCCGAAAATGATATTTTTCAATTAGAACCCGGAGTTGTTTCCGAATTCAGTGATATCAGCAGTAGATCCTAGACCACCACATCTGGCTCGGCTTTCTCGGGCGACATAGTTTCTTTGGTTGATTGATCACGAGTTGAGAATCACTTTTAACTCAATATTTTTGCTCCAAGTCCCCAAGCTAATTCGAGCTCTGTAACATATGCTTCATACTCGACTTCATTATTATTAATAAAATAAATTTTATGAATTGTCTAACTATGTCCTCGATAGGTGCATTAAGCATTGTCCCTAACCCTGGACTTTTAACATTTGCGGACCTAATCATATAGAAGGCCCAAATCCCGAGAATTATCCTGGAGGCAACATGTACTTCCTTTTCAGCTTCCGATAATATGTTCGAGCTAAAATCAATCATGAAATATGCTAAAACTTGTGATTTTATAGTCGTACGTGGCTGAAAAATAATATAATATTCATTAAGTTCTACTACCCATTTAACTAGTATTCCTGACAGTTCGTATTTATGAAAAATGTTGCGTAATAAAAATATAGTGACTACGAGAATTGGGATGACGTTGAAAATAAAGCCTTAGGTTTAGTGCAGCTATTATTAATGCCAACTTCTCAAAACGTGAATACTTAATTTCTGTGTCTAAGAGTATTTTATAATATAGGAGATTGTGTACCTTTATCTTTTTGAACTAAGAATGTACTTACTGAGACCTCAAAGACAGCTTGGTATACGAACAATCATCCTCCTCCCCGGAGTTCTAAAAGCAATGGTGGGTTGATGTTAACTAGCGAGTTTGAATAATTTGACTTTACGGACTAAATCGAACTTTCGAAGTTTGGTAGCTTTATCTTTTATTATTTGACTCTGATTTTTTCTTTTGCTTGACCAGATTATAGCGCGGGTCAATATTGAGCATATAGGTTAGTACCTCCAATGATCTACTTGTTGGCATGGGCAAGCAAAGCAATTTGCGTTAGCACGTAAAACTTTAATCAACTTACCTTTAAGTTCGAGGTCGAGTCTCGACCAACGTAAACTTTCCCATCCGAAAAGTCAATTATAGTTTCTCGTTCTTTAGCATTTGAGCTTGTGGCTTCTGATTTTTCGAATTAATAATTGTGTCGGAAAATATTTGTCTAATTGTCCATCTACGTTCGAGGTTCCTTCAATTAAGGCCCCCCTAGAATCTTGCAATTTAGCAAAGTGATTTCCTACCTGTTCGTTAAGGTCCAAATCTGTTCCAGTCCCTAAAGGAAATCACGTATCTCTCTGCTCGAACCTGTTTTTCAGATTTCTGCGTTTAGATTTGGATCTCTTAGGAATTACCTCTGTTTGATCTCCGAACTTATTTTTCACTTTCGATTGAACTTCTGTCTTCCTCTATTTGGAGCTTCGAATTACCGGCCATAAATTTTATTCCTCAGTTTCGGGAAGGTCCGGTGTTGTTCTTCTAACTCCTTCAATTAGATTCGGAATCACCTCCGCTTGGTCTCCGAACCTATTTTGGGACATCCTATTAGTGTCGATTCAACTTACCTTGTCTTCTTCTGTTTGAAGCCCGGTGCTATAACGGTTATGCATATCATTCTCGTGAGATAGTTGAAAATTTTCGGAAGTGTTTTTTCCTCTCATTATGTTCCTTGATCTGTTCCTATAAGGTTAAAACTAAACTTTAGAAATCGAAATTATCTGGTGTAGCTTAACCTCCTATTTTGGAACTGTTTGGCGAAAATCCGTTATAATTAATTCTGGTACTAATAGTTACGTTACCAATATGTCTAGTATTGATGTCCATTCTTTTTTTTCGTTGCTTACCTATCATTATCGTGACTATTCTTCCATTTTTATTTTGCCTGGTAAAGCCATCTCCAACTCGGTTGTCCTCAAATATGTTGATTGGCAAATTTCGGCCATGATAGAGGTTTAAACTGAAAACAAGCGAAGATTAAATAAAGTTATTAGTATCTTTGGATGAATAGAAAATTTGCTTGAGTTCCCGGTAAGAAACCAAACTGTTTAACCCAAGAATAATTTTCAAGGTCAAAGCAATTAATTTTATATGACGGGCCACAAGCAACCGATTCAGTCCGAAAGATATAAATTTTCGTTAATACATCATGATAGAGAAGTGAAAAATAAATTCAATGATTGATAATATAATAAAAATAAAATAGAGAAAAAATAATTCTTATTTAATGATCCTTGATAGCTTGATGAGCCGAACAGAGATTGAGGAGCCGAACTATGACAAACTTGGGAGCAAGTTTCTATGAATTAAAATGCATAGAATTGTAGAGAAGAAAATTAGATGATTACAATGGTGGTAAAGCATGTCTATTTATAGGACTAGATCTAGGTAACCATTCTCCTTGAATTATGGATCCATTATGAGCATTTACTCAATCCATATGTTACTTTTGGAAGACATGTAACAGTTGAGTATATGCTGAAATTTCATAACTGATAAGTTAATTCTGTAACTGATGAGTCAATCTCGTACCCATTGAGCCAATCATGTACCTATTGAGTCAATTTTGTAATTGATTGCCTTATTCTGCCCGTTACAACCATTTATTGCATTTATTATACGTTACATAATTGATTTGTAACTTATGGCGTAATGATAGTAAATTCCGTATAATTCGGGATTAATTAATTTTTTCCTCATTTGTAATTATGAGCTATTCACTTTACCTGATAGGGGGTTATTCTATGATGATCAAATTCGAGACTAATAGACACGGTACGAGAATGTTCCTGAGGATGTTTCACATATCATCTTTACACGTCATTCATCACTTTTCTAATAACTTTACTGATACGTGTCACTATTTAATAGACCCATGTGACGAGTCTATTTTTCACTAATACAAATATCGCGTGGAATCTAATTTCGAATTTAAAACTATGATTCATCTAATTCAATACCTTAGAATCATACTCAATTTGAATTATTTATTCTTGTTTTTTTTTAATCAATCGATTTATTATAAATTTAATTTTCTTTAAACGAATAACAGAATAGGTTTCGCTCGGCGACCAATGACCAATAGAAGCAATGAACAATAAACGATATAGCTCCCAACCAATGACGTTACTCGACTCGAGTCGGTTATAACAAACTCTGTTGGGCGCGATTCAACTAATATCAGCTCGGCTCCATGCCAAGACCTACAATCCAGAAGAAGCAATGAGAAACAAAGAGACGATAAAACTTGTAATGGGTCCATACAGGGAAAATAGAGAACTTCACTTCTCAATTGGCCCTTCTTAAACATGTAGATATTAAGTGAATCTTTTATGTACCAACTTCGATCAAAATTGGGTAATATCAGAAAAGATGTTTGTACCTTTGTAAATTCGACGAGCACTTTTTTTTTTTTTTAAGAAAAAAAA